GAGTGCAATGGTGTGATCTTGGCTCACTGCAACCTCAGCCTCCCGGGTTCAAACGATTCTCCTGCCTCAGCCTCCCAAGTAGCTGGGATTACAAGTGTGAGCCACCGCACCTGGCCAAGCTCACGCATTTCTTTTGGAGTCATTCCTGGCATGTTATTCAGGGCAAGCGAAAGTGCCCCTGCTCACAGCCTGTCTAACCTATTGCTGGTTTTCAAAACCTGCCAAAGAGTCCATCAGGTTGCCCAGCCGTACTAACACACTCGTCTGGGCTGGGGCGGGTTGTGTTACCTGCCCAGAGCCAGCCCCCTAGGCCCTGGGGACTCATCCTTCCTTGCCGACCTTCTTCTCTGGCTGTGGCCTGGGGACTCCTGTGCCCCCATGGCGATGCCAAGAAGGTTCACAGAGGTGGCTGGATTGTTTGAGATGGAGCAGCTGGTACAGGCATGCACACATGCTTCGCTCATACAGAAAGGTTGCTGAGCCTCTGCATGGCACTGGGGAAAGGCTAGACTCGGGGATCCCCATGTGGCTAAGCCAGACTTCGCTGGGGAGGACCCTGCACAGACCCCGCTACCGCCGGACACTCCTGCCCCACGCCCAGAACCTTTGCACTAGAGCATGTTTGGTTGTTGTGGTGACACATGGGTACCCAGACATGGAAATGTCCACAGAAGTGCGCACACACTCGAAGTCTCCCACTTGGAACTGTTCCCGCGTGAGGCACCTGTGCGACCTTTCTGTGGATTGGAGGTGGCCTCTGTACGCATCCCGGGAACCTGCCTGAGAAGTCTCTCTCATTGGCTTGGAGGCACGGAATGGGGAATGCTGAGCTGTTGTGTCGTGTCAGCGTCCCCCTCAGTGAGTCTGCAGCTGGCGCTGTGTGCTTCCTCCCTCAGTGCTGAGCCATTGTGTTGTGTCCCGCGTCCCCCTCAGTGAGTCTGCAGCCTGCGCTAGGTGCTGCCTCCCTCAGTGCTGAGCTGTTGTGTCATGTCCTGTGTCCCCCTCAGTGAGTCTGCAGCCTGTGCTAGGTGCTTCCTACCTTGCACCTCTCAGGGGAACGAGTGAGAGCCAGAGAAGGGGAGGCGGTGAGAAGCCAAGGGGTTGTTCACTGTAGCAGCTTCTCCAGCAACCGTGGGCGCCACCTGCCTCAGGTTGGAGTGATGTGGAAGAATCCTGTGGGGGGGCGGTTTCTGCCGTGTCCTTTCCTTTACATACCCCCAGTGATGGGGAGCTCTGCACCTCCCAGCAGCCATCTGTCCTGTGCCTCCTTGGGCCCTGATGGGGCTGATGTGGTGTGTGTTTGTCCTGAGAGCGGCCCTCAGCGTGGGGCATGTGTTGCTGCAGAGGGCGGGGGCCTGCAGTGAAACAAATCCTACTGAAGTGGGTGCTGTAGTTTCAGGACAGCAGGACGGCATCTGCCTCTGCAGGCAGGCCAGGCCAGTGAGGTCCTATGCATGCCAGGGCCCCTTTATCTCCTGCATTCTTTCCCCAGAGGACCCAGCATGGGGCTGTCCCTGCTCTCTGGTGAGAGAGCAGTCCATCTCATCTGGAAAAAGTGGCAAAAAAGGGGAGGAACCTTTGGCCTATGCCTGTGGTGTGCGCGTGTGTGTATGTGTGTGTGTCTGTGTGTGCAAGTGTGTGTGTCCAGGTGGTGTGCACATGTGCATGTGTGCGTCCGTGTTCGTGTGTGTGAATGAGTCTTCCCCAGTTGCTGAACACGGTAACACTGTTTTTCTATAATTTCCAGTTATTGGTTCTATGGTGAGAGTCACTTGGCCAGGTACAGTAGCTCATGCCTCTAATCCCAGCACTTTGGGAGGGTGAGGCCAGCAGATCATTTGAGGTCAGTAATTTGAGACCAGTCTGAGCAACATGGTGAAACCCCATCTCTACTGAAAATACAAAAGAATTCGCCAGGCATGATGGTGCGTGCCTGTAAGCCCAGCTACTTGGGAGGCTGAGGTGGGAGAGTCACTTGAGCCTGGGAGACGGCGGTTGCAGTGAGCCAAGATAGCACCACTGCACTCCAGCCTGGGTGACTGAGCGAGACTCTGACTCAAAAAGAAAAACAGGTCGGGCGCGGTGGCTCACACCTGTAATCCCAGCACTTTGGGAGGTGAGGTGGGTGGATCACAAGGTCAGGAAATTGAGACCGTCCTGGACAACATGGTGAAACCCGTCTCTACTAAAATACAAAAACAATAGCCGGGCGTGGTGGCACATGCCTGTTGTCCCAGCTACTCAGGAGACTGAGGCAGGGGAATTGCTTGAACCCGGGAGGTGGAGGTAGTAGTGAGCCGAGATCACGCCACTGTACTTCAGCCTGGTGACAGAGCAAGACCCTGTCTCAAAAAAAAAAAACAAGTCATGCTGGTCTGAGCTGGGCTAACAGGTGGCACCATTTCAGAGGAAGCATTTTGCAGAGCCTCTCAGGCCTCTCCCCTGCCCCTTCCCTGGGACTCCCCTGCAGAGTCAGGTGGGGAGGGTGAGTCAGCCAGGGGCTTCCTGCCGGAGGTCAGTCATCATTTACTTTACTGCTGCCCACCTGTAGAAATGCACACAGGTACTTTGGTTGGTTGTTCTCCATAAACATTGCCCTTCATAGCTGCCAGGCTCCCCCAGGTTTCCAGAGTCACAAAACCTAGAGGGTCTCTTCCAGGAGGGGGCTCGTGCCGGAAGAGTGAGTGGGCTGGAAGTGGTTCTCACCCTCTTTTCCCAGAAGGCTGGTATTTAGGGCTGGTGCCTCTCGAGGAGAGGGCCTGGGTCCCGTCATGGAGATAAGACAGCAGTCACTTAGGCATGCTGGGGAGGGGCGATGGCAGGGCCATGTGTCTCTTGTCAGGGTTGGGGAGGGGTGAGGGGAGGGTTGGTTTGCCTTTGTAGCAGAAGTGAGAGTCCTGGGAAGGCTGTCCTTCCTTGCTTTCTCCCTTTCTCCTGTTACATTTTAGGTTGGGGCATCTTTGCTGAGGGAGGTGTTCGTGGTTGCAGAGCATTGAACCGTGTGCCTGGATCCTGTGCCCCCACCCCTAAGTAGTAACAACCAAAGATATCTGCAGACATGGCCAGCTGTTCCCTGGGGATAAACCTTCCCTCCGTTGAGAGCTGCAGTCTTGGACCTGGCTGCCTGGACTCGGCCACACCAGCCCCTGCTCACTGGGGCCATGTGGCTGAGTGCCCGCCCCAGGCCCTGAGGCCTGATCCACAGTGGCAACACTTGTCTCTCCTGGGCCACTCTTGGATGGGCTGGGGTGCCTGGGAAGCCCAGGGTCTCAGGGATAGTCACGTGCAGTCTCAGCATTCTTGCCTTCCTGGAGATTGAGACATCGCCGTGGCTTTGGATGTCCCCTTTGTAAAGAGGCATCCTAGAGTTTGTTAATCAGCCGGAGGAGGTTTAGCTGGGAATGTTCAGGCTAAACAAAGCCTTGGGACACCACTACAGCACTCACTGGGCTTTTGACTAGAAAACAGTCCACCTGCTGTCTGGCAGAGAGTAGGCGCTCATTAAATACCTGTGGAAGGGTTGGTGCCCTGAGGCGAGGAGGCGCCTCTGTGGGTTTCAGCTCCCATGTGTCTGCCAGACTGCAGAGTGGGGTCTGTTTTCTCTGTGTGTGTGTGTGTGTGTGTGTGTGTGTGTGTGTGTGTGTGGCGCGTAGGGACTGTGTGGCCATCCAGGAGTGTGGATGTGGCTTGAGTGACAGAGGAAGCCACAGCCCTGGCCACCTGGCAGCATGGTGGGCTGCCCTCCTGCCCCCAGCTCTGCGATGGAGCTGGCAGGCAGCAGGTCTCTGTTGTCGCTGAGTGCCAGCTCTGAGTTTGTGTTTGTCATCCCACCTTGTCATTCGGGACAGGCAGGAGGACTCAGCCTCCCTGATGACAGCCAGCGGTGTTCAGGCTGCAGGGACTGTTGTGTGCATGCAGGAAGCGGCTGCTGCCTTCCTCTGCTGGCTTGGTGCCGTGAGTTCTGTCCTCCCATGTCCCCAAACCTTTCTGTGGTGGTTTTCATTTGAAATATTTTTCTTCCGCTATGACTCCGACTTTAAAATAACTCTTATCTTAGGAAGATGGAGGTGAATGGATTGCTTTTCCTCTTTTTACTTGGGAATAACTCACTGCCGCCTGACTGGGACTTCCTTTCCAGTGGATTCCCAATGACAGAGTCACCGTGGGAAACGTTCATTTTATGTGGTTTGGCTAAAAACAAAACAACCCCAAAGATTTTTTCACCAGCCTAAAACTAGAAAAATGATTGAACTTTTAAGACATGTGTGAGCATTTCCAGTTCAAAGAGAAAATAAAGTCGAATGGTTAGTTGTCAAAGCCAGTTGCATCCTTAAGTTTACCACTTAGACTTTAAAACAATCAGTAACCTTCCATTTTATCACAGAAGCACCATTAGCAGCCCTGTTGTCCCCTGAGCTGAGTGAGTCCCGGAGTGGCAGCGTCTCCTCTTACTCTAGAGACTGGGGTGACGTCCAGCCTCATTCCATAAGGGGCCGCTGACAGAGTTTAGCGTTAACACCAAAAACAGAGGGATGTTGTCACTAGTGTGATACGTTTGAAAGACATAAAACAGAAGACAAGTGGTAAAGGTGTGGGCGAGGCGGACCTTACAGGGCAGAATTTTAGCCAGCGTAGGAAGCATGTAACTGGGGAGGGGGAGGGGCTCCAGACGTCCCGCCCCTGGGTTGTTCAGGCACAGGCCTCCCAGAGAGCCATTTAGGCATCAGCCTGAAGGCACAGGTGCGAGGAGTGGGGAAGAATCCCAGAGGTTTCTCAATCCCTACATTCTGTGATCCCAAGTTCAAAATTCTTGATTTTCCTTAATGTTTCGCCCCAAATTGGGGTACCCAAAATGTCAGTATATGTTATGAAGAACCAGTGATTTTGTTAACTAAAACAGCACTGAACTCATATTTTTCAAAACCTCCTTATTGTTTTACTAAAATTGATTTTTAAATTCTAGAAATATATTTTAAAGAATTTATTAGCTAGCATGAATTGTTTAGTTAGTGCAAGAGCGTGACCTGTTTCTGGATACGCTTTTGTGTTGTACCAAATATCTTCCTTTTTTTTATTTTTGAGATGGGGCCTGCCTCTGTCACCCAGGCTGAAGTGCAGTTGTGCAATCTCAGCTCACTGCAGCCTCCACCTCCTGGGCTCGAGTGGTCTTCCTACCCCAGCCTTTTGAGTAGCTGGGACTACAGGCACGCACCACCATGCTCGGCTAATTTTTTGTATTTGCTGTAGATATGGGGTTTTGTTTTATTGCCCAGGGTGGTCTGGAACTCCAGTCCTCATCTATCCACCTTGCCCTCCCAAAGTGCTGGGATTACATGTGTAAGCCACCATGCCTGGCTGCCAAATTTCAGTAAAATGAATAATCTCTTCAAAGCTGTCTTCAAACAGGCAAATATAAAAGCAGAATTTTGAATTTGGTTAAATGGAAATAGAGATTCTATTTTGTCCCATCAACAATGTGAAGCATTTCCAAGAAGTACTAACATATTAGCTGTATTACTCCTAACATGTAAACCATGTTGGCCAGGTGCAGTGGCTCATTCCTGTAATCCTAGCATTTTGGGAGGCTGAGGCAGACGGATCACTCGAGGTCAGGAGTTCGAAACCAGCATGGCCAACATGGTGAAACCTCATCTCTACTAAAAATACGAAAAAATTGGCCAGGCTTGGGGCTGAGTGCCTGTAATCCCAGCTACTTGGGAGGCTGAGGCAGGAGAATTGCTTGAACATGGGAGGTAGAGGTTGCAGTGAGCTGAGATTGTGTCACTGCACTCCAGCCTGGGTGACAGAGCGAGACTCCTTTTCAAAACAAACAAAAAAACATGTTAATATCTGTTGGTTCCCAACAGTGACCTATAATGTTGGTTGAAAGATGTTTGGGGATCTGTTTAAATCATATTGAGTAGTGTCTCTGTTGGTTTTAGAGAATATGCTAACATAGAGAATGTTAACTATCAGAGTATCTTTCGTTTTGATGTTTTAAGTGGCAGAAGAGTTTCCAGAGATTTCAGATATAAACAGACTGAAAGAAGTAAGCTCGACCTGCATGCTCCTTCTCTGCTGTGCTGTCCTTGAAAGACTTGGTGTCCATCTTTGTTGTTGTTGTTGTTGTTTGAGACAGGGACTAGCTCTATTGCCCAGGCTGGAGAGCAGTGGTGCGACCATGGCTTGCTGCAGCCTCAAACGCCTGGGCTCAAGCGATCCTCCCACCTCAGCCCCTCTGAATAGCTGGGAACACAGGCATATGCCACCACACTCGACTTACTTCTCTATTTCATTTTTTTGGTAGAGATGAGGTCTCATTATGTTGCCCAGGATAGTCTTGAACTCCTGAGCTCAGGTGATCCTCCTGCCTTGGCCTCCCAAAGTGCTGGGATTTCAGATGTGAGCCCACTGCAACTGGCCTGAGTGTCCATCTTTGTGAAAGAGTCAGATTCTCGAATGCCTATGATAGATTTGAACAAGACAAGCAAAGATGGGAAGGATTGACCTTATTAGTCTTGAGACATATCTTAAAGCCATGGTGATTGAAATTATGTGGTTTTAGGGGCAGGAAGAGTCAAATAAACCAATGAAACAGTATAGAGAGTGCAGACACAGACCAAATACCCTGTAGGAATTGGGTGAGCTACAGCATGCATCATAAATCCTGGGGAAAGGATTTTGTAAACGACAGGATAACTGACTTCAGCTATATGGAGAAAAAGGAAATGGATCCTTCCTCCAAATGCTTCAAAAACCTAGATGTCAAAAGTAAAATTATATGGCCAAATGAAAGATTTCATAAAGAGGGCTTAAAAAGTACAAACTGGTTGGACATGGTGGCTCACACCTGTAATCCTAGCACTTTGGGAGGCTGAGGTGAGAGGATCACTTGGGCCAGGAGTTGGAGCCCAGCCTGAGCAACATAAGAGACTCTGTCTCTACAAAAAAATTTAAAATTGGCTGTGTATGGTGGCTTAGGCCTGTAGTCCCAGCTACTCAGGAGGCTAAGGTTGATCCCAGGAGGTTAAGGCTGCAGTCAGCTGTGATCTGTGAGCTGTGATCATGCCACTGTACTCCAGCCTGGGCAGCAGGGCAAGACTTCATCTGTTTTGTTCTGTTTTGTTTTGTTTTTGAATTGGAGTCTCACTCTGTTTCCCAGACTGGAGTGCCATGGCGTGATCTCAGCTCACTGCAACCTCCACTTCCTGGCTTTAGGCCATTTTCCTGCGTCGGCCTCCTGAGTAGCTGGGATTATAGGCACCACCATTTTTGTATTTTTAGTAGAGATGAGGTTTCACTGTGTTGGCCAGGCTAGTCTCGAACTCCTGACCTCAAGTGATCCACCTGCCTTGGCCTCCCAAAGTGCCGGGATTACAGACATGAGCCACTATGCCCAGCCTGTTTTTTTTTTTTCAAGTACAATCTGTAAGAAGAAAAAGTAGATAGATTTGACTGTATCAAAATTGAAAATTTCTGTTTGACCAAGGACACCATATAGATAAAAGATAGGTGATATACTAGAAGAAAATGTTTGGAATATCTAAAACTGCTGTGATGAATAACTAGAATAAAGTAATGAATGTCTACAAATCAGCAAGAAAACAGCAAAACACTCACTAGAAAACATGAAGCTGGTACAAGTTTGCAGCAGCTGGAAGAAGGTGAAGCCAGCGTGGCTAACACACACGAGAGGGGAGGCCAGCCTCACTAATGCCATTGCCACCCATGGTTGGCTCTGGCTGCACAAAGCTGGACAAAGATTTTGGCTCTGCATCCTCTAATACAAGGCAAAGAAGTTGTGAGGGTTGGGGATAACTAATCCACTGGCTGCCACATGTATACATATATATTATTTAAAAAACAACAGAGGCGCAGTGGCTCACGCCTGTAATCCCAACACTTTGGGAAGCTGAGGTGGGTGGATCATGAGGTCAGGAGTTCAAGACCAGTCTGGACAAGACGGTGAAACTTTGTCTCTACTAAAAATACAAAAATTAGCTGAGTGTGGTGGCGGATGCCTGTAATCCCAACTACTCAGGAGGGATTGCTTGAACTCGGGACATGGAGGTTGCAGTGATCTGAGTATGCCACTACACTCCAGCCTGGGTGACAGGGCAAGACTGTCTCAAAAACAAACAAATAAACACGGCAGTTCATTTCTCCAGAATAAGAAACCAATGATGTCAAAGTCTAGGTTATGAAAGTTAGTTTGTCTGTCCTGCAGCCATGACCGAATGCCTAATACAAGGCAACCATCTTACTAATGTGGGGAACAAGTAAGTGCCAAGAAAGGGCTGCACAAGCTTCTATCTGCTGTGTGTGGCCATCATGTGCCAATCTTCTGACACATGCTCTGGGGGATGGATAGGATCATTTTCTCTTTTCATTGCCATTCTGTCCTTGGGAGCCCACTCTATGTACTAATGAATACCATTCTAATTTACCTTTCATATGTTCGGATTCATATGTATCCTTAGGACATAAATAATATTTTGTATATGTTTAATTTACCTAAGTGGGATTGTGCTATAAAGCCCATTGTTTCTTTTGTAACTCACGTTGTGTTATTTATTTTAAAAATAGAGACAGGGTCTCACTATGTTGCCCAGCCTGGTCTCAAACTCCTGGGTTCACTCCCAGGAGTGGAGTGAACCTCCCAAATGCAGCCTCCCAAAATGCTGGGATTACAGCAATGAGCCACTACACCTGTCCTCACATTATGTTTTTAACATCTACCCATGGTGCTCTATTCAGTTAACTGCTTTTGACTGATGCATAGTTTTGCATTCTGTGCCTATACTACGTATTCATTCCCCTAAGTACAGACACTCAAATTGTGTATAGCTTCTTCCTACTGAATAATGGTATTCATTAATAACTATGCCATTGTTAGGTGTGTCTAACAATGATATATCTAACATGACGTTGTCAGAACATACTAGAATGACTTACACAAACCTAGATGGTACAGCTTGCTACATACACAGGCTGTATGGTATAGCCTGTTGTTCCTAGGTTACACACCTGTACTGTATATTTCTGTATCGAATGCTAGGAGTAATTTGAACACAACGGTAAGTATTTGTGTGTCTAAACATATCTAAACAGAAAATAAACAGTAAAAATACAATATTATATTCTTGTAGGGCCATCATTGTATATATGGTCTGTTGTTCAAAACATCATATGTGGCACATGACTGCAACTACACATTGTTTTATGTGCTAGGAAAAAGAAGCACAGCTGCTAATTTAGAATGAGGGTTAGGAACATTCTCTCTGAAGAGGTGAAATGTAAGCCAGTCTCAAAGATGACAACACACCAACCAGGTGGAGAGCAGTGGGCAGTTGGTGGGGCAGGAAGAGCATTCTGGGCAGAGAGAACAGCATTGTGCAAAGACCCACGGATGAGAGAGAATGAAGCATAGGCAGGCACTGCAAGAAGGTCTTTGAGCTGGTGCAGAGGGGAAAGTTGCGGAAGGTGCAGCCAGACAGATAGTTGGGGGAAAGAGCAACCTGGCTTGTTAAGTATTTTGGGTTTTACACTGTATATAATGCGGGGTCACTGGAGGGATTAAAAGACTTTAGCTCCTAGGTAGAGAATACTTTGAGAAGGTCAGTAATAGGAGATTAATTCAGTTGTTGTAGAAGTCAAAGTGAGAGTTGATGGTGGCTTGGACTAGAGTTATAAGGGAATGGGTAGAAAGCAGTAGAGGGATTTTAAGTATATTCTGGAGATGAAATCAACAGAACTTGTAAATAATTGGATGCTGAGGATGCAGAAGAGGGAGGTATCCAGAATGACTCCCAGATTTCTCCTATGAAGAGTTGGGTAGGAAGAGATGCCATTTCCTAAAATGGAGACTATTGAGAGAAAAGCAAATTATGGGAGGAAGAGTTAGAGTTCTCTTAAACTATGTTTAGTTAGAGACATCCAAATATAGGTGGCAAACATGGGCAGTCAGATAATATGGATCTTGAGTTCAGAAGAGAATCTGATCAAAAGTATTTGTTTGTAATTAATTTGTAAGTAGGTGATATTTAAAGCTGTGGGAAACCAGTAGATTAGGTAGTGAATGTACAGCCAGTGAGGAGAAATGAGGGCTTAGATGGAAACTGGAAGACCTCCAACATTTAGAGGTCAAATAAAGGAGGAGGAATCAGCAAATCCGACTGAGGAGTGGCCAGACATGTAGAAGACAACATGAAGAGTGTGGTGTCACAGAGGCCAAGATGAAGTTACGATAGGTCAAAAAGGATGGAAATCATTGGGGTCTTGGATTGGGCAACATGGAGGTCACCAGAGACTTTTCTGATAGCTGTTTTTGAGCATGCAAGCCAATGTTGAAATGGGTTGAAAAGAAGGTATTTATACTTCTGGCAATATGTGGGATTAATTATCCTGGAAAATCTTTCTATGTAAAGTATCTGAAAATGCTGGATAAATATAAGAAATCATTTGTTAATGCATAGCTGAGTACCCTCGAAAATAAAGGAAATCTCTAGGAGTGGGAAAAAAAAGAGTGATACCTTGAAACCTCAGAAATTTAGCAGATTCTGAAACTAGAATTGCCCTAGAAGCATTTGCCAGTCTTAGAAACTGAGAAACTTGAGTTTAACAGCTGTCCAAGAAGAGACAGAAAGCCCTTGGGACCTTAAAAGGCAGGGAATTAGAACTGAGACCCCTCCAAATACAGTTGGAATCCTTGAACAGTGACACAGTGAGTGAAAAATTGGAATAGGAAGAATCTGCTACCTCGTGAAAGGAGGTGACAAAGAAAGTTCTCTCTCATGACCTGTGTGGGAAAAACTAAAGACTGTTCCTTAGAATTGAAAACCACATGTCCTCTCACATGTATTTGGGGTTCAAAACTGCACCACCTACATGTTGTAGATAATCCCTGGATAAGAAATTACATTGTATGCAATTTGATAGTGTACAAGAACATCTGTTGGAAACAAAGCAAATCCTCTTTGGAAGGACACATCCTCTATAAAGGCATTCCAAGTCACGCCAGAAATGAGCTCACAATCTAAAATTACAAGACACAATAGGTAATGCCACTCTGAGTTCTTAACAACAAACTATAGATTTCTCAAGAGCATTTGAAATTGGAATCATTAGTTATAGAATACTAAATAAGTATGTTTAACACTTTTAAAGAAATAAAAGATGGGAAAAAGCAGAGAAGCTTGGAAAAGAACAAAATAGTGTTTCTAGTAATAAAATAGAAGGATTTAAGTGGATATTTCCATGATGTTTAAACAGCAGGCTAAATATAACTGAAGAGAGGACTTGGTGGTAATCTGGCATCACCCAGAAAGACACATGGTTTAAGAGACATGTAGGACAGAGTGAGAAGGTTGACCACGTGTCTAAATGAAGAGAATCAGGAGACAAGTAGGAGAACATATTCCGAGGAAGTGCCTGAGAAGCTTCTGGAGATCATGAAAAGCATGACTTCTGATTTGCGAATTATAGTGTATCCTGGGTAAGATTATTAAAGAGAAGTCTACCCCTGGACACACAGTGGTGGGATCACAGGGCACTAGGGACAGAGACTTTTACAGCCGCCATAAGACAGACAAGCAGCACTTAACCCAGCTACTGAATTCTCAATGGGAACTAGAGGACAGCAGAATCATGCCTTTAAAGCATGGCCAGAACAGAGCTGTCGACCTCGAATGCTGCCCCAGCTAAAACAACGTCCTCAAAACAAACGGCTCAAGAAACAAGACAGGAACTGCTTTCCACCATTGAGTTCCCACTGAAGGGGCATCTGGACATCCAAGGATGTATGCGAGGGTGAAGAGGGCTGAGGGTGCCCTCAGAAAGGATGCACATCTGAGATGTCAGGAGACTTGGGGAGCAAAGAATTAGATGGGTAAAGCTGGGCAAATACATAAAATAGTGGTAATAAAGGGTTGAATTTGGCCGGCTATAGACCACTTGAGCCATGCCCACCCACGTCATGAGCCCACCGCGCAGTTGGGGGGCCCAGCCAGAAGGCCGTGGCTCCCGTGAACCCTTGTACTGGCTGCCGGTGCGCAGGCGCCCGCGCGTGTGCCGTCGGTTCTGGAACGTGGACACCGAGGGGCCTGGCGCCATGTTGGGGCCGAGGGGGAGGAGGGGAAGCGCTTGAATCCGCGGGGCACACAGCGGGAGCCAGAGTGGGGTCAAGACCAGGGCTGCTAGGAGCCCTGCCCTTCCCACCTCAGCGGATCATGACCCGGTCGGGGTGGTGGGGGACGTGCCCTGGCGGGGCGGGTGCTGAAAGATGATGCCGTTTCCCGTGACAACTCAGGGAACACCGCAGCCGGCGAAGCGCTATGGCATCTCCGCGCCGATCAGCTTAGCGGTCCCCAAGGAGACGGACTGCCTCCTCACCCAGAGGCTAATAGAAACCCTCAGGCCCTTCGGGGTCTTCGAAGAGGAAGAGGAACTGCAGCGCAGGATTTTAGTTTTGGAAAAATTAAATAATCTGGTAAAGGAATGGATACGCGAAATCAGTGAAAGCAAGAGTCTTCCGCAATCTATACTTGAAAACGTTGGAGGAAAGATTTTTACATTTGGCTCCTACAGATTAGGAGTACATACGAAAGGCGCAGATATTGACGCCTTGTGCATTGCACCAAGGCATGTGGATCGAAGTGACTTCTTCACCTCCTTCTATGCTAAGCTGAAACTACAGGAGGAAGTAAAAGATTTAAGGGCTGTCGAGGAGGCATTTGTGCCAGTTATCAAATTGTGTTTTGATGGGATAGAGATTGATATTTTGTTTGCAAGATTAGCACTACAGACTATTCCAGAAGACTTGGACCTAAGAGATGACAGTCTACTTAAAGATTTAGACATTAGAAGCATAAGAAGCCTCAACGGTTGCCGGGTAACTGATGAAATTTTACATCTAGTGCCAAACATTGACAACTTCAGGTTGACTCTGAGAGCCATCAAATTGTGGGCCAAATGCCACAGTATCTATTCCAATATACTAGGTTTCCTCGGAGGTGTTTCCTGGGCCATGCTAGTAGCAAGAACTTGTCAGCTTTATCCAAATGCAGTAGCGTCAACTCTTGTACGGAAGTTCTTCTTGGTATTTTCTGAATGGGAATGGCCAAATCCAGTGTTACTGAAAGAGCCTGAAGAACAGAATCTTAATTTGCCAGTATGGGACCCAAGAGTAAATCCCAGTGATAGGTACCATCTTATGCCTATCATCACACCAGCATACCCACAGCAGAACTCCACATACAACGTGTCTGTTTCAACTAGGATGGTCATGATTGAAGAGTTTAAACAGGGGCTTGCTATCACACATGAAATTTTGCTGAATAAGGCAGAGTGGTCCAAACTCTTTGAAGCTCCAAGCTTCTTTCAAAAGTACAAGCATTATATTGTACTTCTGGCAAGTGCACCAACAGAAAAACAACATTTAGAATGGGTGGGCTTGGTGGAATCAAAGATCCGGATCCTGGTTGGGAGCTTGGAGAAGAATGAATTTATTACACTGGCACATGTGAATCCACAGTCATTTCTAGCACCCAAAGAAAATCCTGATAAGAAAGAATTTCGTACAATGTGGGTGATTGGGTTAGTGCTAAAGAAGCCAGAAAACTCTGAAATTCTCAGTATTGATCTCACCTATGATATCCAGTCTTTCACAGATACTGTTTATAGGCAAGCAGTGAATAGTAAGATGTTTGAGACGGGCATGAAAATTGCTGCAATGCATTTAAGAAGAAAGGAACTTCATCAGCTGCTGCCTCATCATGTGCTTCAGGAAAAGAAAGCACACTCTCCAGAAGGTAGAAGATTGACAGATTTGAATGACAGAAGCTTTGACTTGTCTGCAGGTGGTGAAAACAGCATTTCTGTGCCTTCATCTACTAGCACTATGAAGACAGGCCCATTGATTAGCAGTTCTCAGGGTAGAAACAGTCCTGCCCTGGCTGTAATGACAGCATCTGTGACGAACATACGGGCTACTGAAATTTCCTTGCAACAGGTGAATACCAGTGAAAGTTCAGGGGCTGCATTAAACGAAAGTATTCCTCATGCTGTCTCTCAGCCTGCCATTGCTCCATCACCAAAGCCCATGGTCACCAGAGTTGTTTCTTCGACATGTCTCATAAGCCATCCAGACCTTCAGGAAACGCAGCAACAAACATATCGAATCCTATAGTTGGAGTCTAGAGGATATTCTTGCTTCATAAAGAAGAAAGGACCAAGAAAACCTAAACAGGAAAAACTCAACACAAAGACAAGTACAACTCCATTAGAAGCAATTCAGACAGCATCTTCTCTGTTGGCCTCTCAGCGAACTTCAGTACAGATCTTTCCAGTATCCCCGTTCTCCCTGCTAACCAATTCCTGTTATCAAGAATACAGTAAAACAGGTTGAATGGATAAAAACAACCACAAGGGTCCATCAACAGTATCTGCTAACTCAGCCTGTTGTCTTCAAATACTAAAGAAGGAGAATGAAGGATACAGGACTAGATATGACTTGAAGTGGATTTGGGCTCATTTAGTAACTTCCTTTACTGGGCTAGTCTTGATCAGAAGTCCAAATTAATATGTGACAGCTAGAGATGCTGTTATTAATGTGTCAGCAACAGTTACATTAACTATTTCAAAACTGCCCTTAAAAAGAAAAAACTGTCCAGTTATATTTATACCCGTGACTGACATCTGGACTGGATTTATGTTTGATGCATTGTTGGGAAAATTTGAATACAAGCTGGTATCAGAATTCCTTACACTGATGATGTACTTTATATTTTTTGTTAGAAAGTAGAACTAATTTTAGATTTTTCAAATTGGTGAATTTTATTTTTCCCTGAAGAGGTTTCTTCACTATTAATCTTAAAATTGGATACCATTGTGCAGTGGTATACTGTACTTCAGAGAAAGCAAAAAAGTTCATCTGGCTCAGTCCCCATGAGGTAGCTTAACCTTTTAAAATGAAATGTCAACTTTTAGGTATGTATTTGACATCAAAACAATCATTAGTAGGTATTTGGTTCTGATGGCACACCATGGAGAAATGACACACTGGTTTTATCTGTAGAACTGTTTTAGAGAGTCATCAGCAATCAGATATTTTCTCTGAGCTGAGAAAGCTCCATATTGTCTTGGCCTCAATCATTAGTCCTAAAACAAAAAGGCTTTTTGTCTCCCCCTTTTCTCTTTGCTTGCATGCACAGAGTATGCTTATGTGTCATTACACACACACACACACACACACACACACACATACAAAGCAATAATTTTCTAAACCATGATGTGAAACTGACAATCCTGTGGCCACATGGTACAAAACGCCAAATTTTGGTTACCACAAAACTCCACATTGTAGCAAAACTTTACTAAATATAATGCCTCTGAGATGTGTTTCTGATCTTGGAGGACCATTGGATCTCTATATATGAGAAGTTTTGTACATTCCACAGAATACCTCCTGATGGGAAAGTTAATTTCCAGTTTCACACATAAGCAAAAAGGCATTTTCTCCAAGAGTTTTAAGCACATTTTTATTTTTAAATGACTTATCAAAACTCATCTGTAAGTTTTACATGTAGAAACATATAAAAGTAATTTTTAGCAAAACCGTGACATCTTACTGGCTTTCTGCTCTTCTGTTTTAGTCTACAAAAGATCAGCAATACTTTAAGTGGAAAAAAGAAGATCCCTCGTAATTAAGCAGTAGAGCATCGATGTTTAGGAAATATGAGGGACAACAGATGTGGATGAATGAAAGTTTAGTCTTTCTTAATCTAGACAGCAAACTTAACAGTCTTTCCAGTTAGCCTTGCTTTAACCCCTTCCCTCCCTCCTCTAATTGCAGTTTCATGTTAAACTGCAATTACGGAAACTCTTTTCCTGTCCTATGGATTAATTTTCTAAAGTTGAAATATAGTCATTTCCTATTAGGCTGTACATTACTTGAGACTTTTCTTTCACCATTACCTTCTGATGTCTAGTATACAGTATTTCTTTTTTTCACGTCTTTGCCCTTTCACCAGAATAATAAATTGGGTGAAGTGTGCACAATATCTGTATTTTGAATGGCTATGGTGTTAGGATGAAATGGCCAGGCACAAATTTAATCTGATCATTTTGTTTTCACATTGGGAAAAAATTAGTTTATTAAACATTACCTGTAACTGTACCTGTTTTACCAAGCTGGATCCTTGGGACTTTTTATTTCTAATTTTTATTACCTGAATGTACATAGTGAGTGGAGTTTGCTTTGTTATATAGTATCTATACTCCTGGTATTTTCAAGCACTGCTTTGAAAACAGATGACTTACTTCTCCGTTAAAAACGCAATAAAAGTAAATGGCAAACAAGTAAAGTGAAACTAAAATACTAGACAATAGTAGCATTTAAATCTGAGATCTGGCCGGTGCCGTGGCTCAATCCTGTAATCCCAGCACTTTGGGAGGCCGGGGTGGGTGAATCACGAAGTCAAGAGATTGAGACCATCCTGGTCAACATGGTAACCCCGTCTCTACTTAAAAAAAATACAAAAAATTAGCTGGGCATGGTGGCGCGTGCCTGTAATCCCAGCTACTCAGAAGGGTGAGGCAGGAGAATTGCCTGAACCCAGGAGGCGGAAGTTGCAGTGAGCCGAGATCGCGCCATTGCACTCCAAGCTGGGTAAGAAGAGCAAAACTGCGTCTCAAAAAAAAAAAAAAAAAGATCTGAGATCTGAATTCAGATGTACTTACATTGAAAGAGGGTAGAGACACTGATGAACGTTTCGACCTTACTAAGTCTAGAGTGTAATAATGTTTAGGGAAACATGAAAAGATTAAAATTTCATATCAGTAAAGGTGAAAAATAAAGCTAAGCTGAATCCAAAAGAAGGCAAAAAAGAAAGGGGGAAGCGTACCAAAAACTAAGGTAAAAAGAAAACACGAGCTATAGTCATGGAAATGAAACCAAATATATCTGTCACTACTACAAATGGACCAAACTTCCTGACTAAAAGGCAGAGATTGTCAGATTCCACGGGAAAACCAAGTCCAACTCTATGCTTTTTTACTTCTGAGAGACACATCAAAAATAAAATAATGGAAAAAAGGCATGTTAAGAGAAAAGAAGCTGGTATAGTAACAGTATCATTTAAGTAGGTGTTAAAGCAAAAATAATTATCAAGGACAAAAGGACCGTGGATTGAGATAGAAGACCTGCTGCATCAGGAACACTGAATGATTTAAAACTTGTCAACAAAGATGAACAGAAATTGCTAAATGTGTTGTTATCATAGAAGATTTCAAAACAGCTCTTTCGTTAATTGATATCAAGTGGATAAAAATAGAAGGGAAACAGTTTTTGAACACAGTCCAGTGTAGTGGTTGGTGAACTTTTCCTATCAAGGACCAGAGAGTAGCTGTCTTCAGCTTTGTGAAGCCATACGGTCTCTGTCACAGCTACTTAACCCTGCGTTTGTAGGGTGAAATCAGTCGTAGACGATATGCAAACAGATGGCCAGGGCTGGATTTGTCACCCATCCCCCTCAGCCATTGTATGCCATCAATGATCTAGTGAACGTTTATCATAGAACCTTCTGCCCAACCATTGGAAAATGCATATTATTCTCAAGTATTGGGCATGTACAAAAATTAACCTCGTGCTATATCAAAAGTAACATTTAACATACTTCAAAGTATCTGATTTATAGGACATGTTCTCTGAGCACAGAACAGTAAGGTAGAAGTTAAGTAACAAATAGCACAAAGAAGACACAAAAAAGCTTAAGCCATGAAAAGAGAGATTGGTACAATTATGAGATTTTGTTCATCAAACAATGAACAGTGAGAAACTGAAAAACAAGCCTTAAGCTGGGAGAAGATTCTGTGGTAACATGAAACTGACAAATGTTTACTATCCAGAATTTATTAAGGATGGCAAAGGAAAAAGTCTGTTTAAAAAGATCAATAGGCTGGGTGCAGTGGCTCATGCCTGTAATCCCAGCACTTTGGGAGGTCAAGGTGGGTGGATCACTTGAGGCCAGGAGTTTGAGACCAGTCTGGGCAACATGGCCAAACCCTCTATTTACTAAAAATACAAAACAGTTGGGTGTGGTGGCATGTAACTGTAGTCCTAGCTATTCCGGAGGTGGAGGCAGGAGAATCGCTTGAACCCAGGAGGTGGAGGTTGCAGTGAGCTGAGATCCTGCCACTACACTCCAGACTGGGTAATGGTCTTAAAAACAAAACAAAGCCGGGTATAGCGGTTCATCCTTGTAATCCCAGCATTTTGGGAGGCTGAGGTGGGCCGATCACTTGAGGCCAGGAGTTTGAGACCAGCCTGGCCAATGTGGTAAAACCTAACCTTTTGTATTTTTTTCTACTAAAATATAAAAATTTGCCAAGTGTGGTGATTCGTGCCAGTAATCCTAGCTACTTGGGAAGCTGAGGTATGAGAATCACTTGAACCCAGGACACAGAGGTTGCAGTGAGCCAGGATCATGCCACTACACTCCAGCCTGAGCAACAGAGCAAGACTCTGCCTCAAAAAAGGAAAATAATAAAATCTCCAACAACCCAGTTTAAAAAGTGGGCCAAAGAAATGCATAAGCATTTCACAGAAGAGGAACTAGGAATGGCCAATAAACATGAAAAGATGCCCAATCTCATTAGTCATAAGGAAAATACCATTTAAGACCAGAGAGGTGTTTTTCATTTCAAAAATAAAAAAGTCTAACAGTGTCTAGGTTTGTCGAGGATGAGGACCAGTGGACGTTCTAACATGGTGCCACTGAGAGTGAAAACTGTTTGGCCCCTTTGGGAACCAGTTGGGTCTTATCTAGCAAAGTTGACAGGCCTACACTCTGTGTTCCAATTATTCCACTCGTAGGTCTTCATTACCATCCAGTGGGACACTGATGGACTTAATCTTACTGATTTCCTTAGTCTTTGGGGTGACCAGAGTCTGTGGGACCACAGCCATGTCCAGAACTCTACACACCTAGTTTACCTCCAGCATGCCATTTAAATACCATAATGTTCTATAAATGTCGTGGTGTTAGAAAAGTCAGGAAGCACTTGGAGACGAGTATGAGAGTGTTTATGTCCATATTTTGTAGTGGTCTAAAGTTCAAGACAATCCACATAGCCACCAATGACAGAATGGCTGGATGTTGGCATATTCATGCAATAAATAGTATAAAGTTGTGAAATTAAACAATAGCTGCCTGCGTCAATGTAACTGTGTCTTGTGATGTGGAGAGGAAAAGCACATTGCAGAAAAATGCAGGATGTGATACCATTTATATAAGGTTTCAAAAACAGCAAAGTAGAGCAGTATAATTTAGGGTTCCAAACGTGTGGTAGAACTATAAATGAAAAATAAGGCCATGTTAAACACACAATCCAGAAGAGTGATTCCCTTTGGTAGGGCGAGAGGTGGGGACAGGCAGGAAGATGTGTTTGGGAGAGGTGATGTGAGCCTGGAAATAAATAGTCTATTCTTTTTAGATTGGATGGTGGATGAGACGGTGTTCATTTGTTATTAGTCTAAGTTATAAATGCTTTCATATGCGTGAAATATAGTTGAATAACCAATACCAAAGTGATATCTTAACCTCTTTGTTAGCAATGACAAAAAACAAACACCACCCTCCCCCAAAGTAAAAGCAAACAAACAGAAACCCCACGTCATGCCTCTTCATCAGTTAGGAATTGCATTTGACCAGGTTAGAGTAGCCTGGGCACAGTACAGGTTTCTTTTGTCTAACAGTAAGTTCAGGGCTGGTAACTTGGCTTTCCTGGTCACCAGGGACCAGGCTTTTCCTACTTTCGGCCCCATCATTCTAGGTCTTGCCTTCCATCTTCAAGGTTACCTCAATGTGCAGGATGGTTATGGGGGCCACTGCCATCACATCTTCATTGAAGGCAGGAAGAAAGAAGGAAGATGGGGAAGGGCAAAGGTGTCCCTGCAAACTGTCCACCTATGGAGCTTTCCAAGAAGTCCCAACAGCGGCATCCCCTCATCTTTCACTGACTGCAACTTAATCACATGGCTGTGCCTACCTGCAAGGGAGATGGGAAAATGTCGCTTTTCTTAGCTGGGTACATCACCTCACCAATAGGACAGGGCTTATGCTATTAAGAGGAAGGAGAGAATGTCTAGTAAAAGGCAATGATAGCCTTCTCTTTGACAGCACACATATATTTAGAAGTTCCAAATCACTTTTTTTTTTTTTTTTATACGTAGTTTTGCTCTTGTTGCTCAGGTTGGAGTGCAATGGCACGATCTCGGATCACTGCAGCCTCCGCCTCCTGGGTTCAAATGATACTCCTGCCTCAGCCTCCTGTGTAGCTGGGATTACAGGCATGTGCCACCACACCCGACTAATTTTGTATTTTTAATAGAGATGGGGTTTCTCCATGTTGATCAGGCTGGTCTTGAACTCCTGACCTCAGGTGATCTGCCTGCCTTGGCCTCCCAAAATGCTGGTATTACAGGCATGAGCCACTGTGCCCAGCCTACCCCCAGCATCTTCAAGTGAGCAGTAGCATGTCAGATCTCCATCATTTTTTGAGTATTTGACTTCCTTTCTGCTTTTTTTTTTGATGGAGTCTCGCTCTGTCGCCAGGCTGGAGTGCAGTGGCACAATCTCAACTCACTGCAAGCTCCGCCTCCCAGGTTCAAGCAATTCTCCTGCCTCAGCCTACTGAATAGCTAGGACTACAGGCGTGTGCCACCATGCCCAGCTAATTTTTTTATTTTTTAGTAAAGATGGGGTTTCACCATGTTGGCTAGGATGGTCTTGATCTCTTGACCTTGTGATCCACCTGCCTCGGCCTCCCAAAGTGCTGGGATTACAGGTGTGAGCCACCACACCCAGCCCCTTTCTGCTTTTTAAAAGGCCCATGTGTTTACGTTAGGCCCACCTGGATAATCTCCCTTTTGATGAACCCAGAGTTAACTGATTAGTAAACTTATTTATGTATCTGTGAAAATCTCTTTTGCCATACAACAAAACGTAATCATGGAATGACATCATATAAACAGTTCCCAGTCATGCTCAAGGTTGGACGGCAGATTATGCAAGGCAAGGGTCATTGGGGGTCATCTTAGAATTCTGGCTTCCACAGTCTGTCCTCTGGCCTCCAGTGATCCATAGTTACACCCGAATGCAAAATACACTCACCCCATCTCAAGGTCCCCCATTCTTATCCTATTACAGTATCAGCTCAAGTCTGAAAATCTCATCATCTTAATCTAAATTAGGTGTGAATGGGACTTCTGGATTTAAACCGTTAAGTAGAACTCTTGGGGCACAATTTCTCTCCATCTGTGGACCTGTGACACTAAGACACAAGTATCTGCTCCAACC